ACAAGACTCCAGCTTGAGTCAATCCAGCACCAGAGCTTCAAGCACGTTAGTCATCACCGTCAGTGGCATACGGGGGCTTTCGCGGTTACTTACCACTGCGTCGCCATAGATCAATCCCCTTGGATCATCCCGAACCGCAAATAAAGCAATTGCGGTTACCAGCGGACCACCGTAACATATCAAACAGTAAATCCATGCGTGCTTGCGAAAGCTTGAAGGGTTTACGTTGTAGAAAAAGACCAGGTAGACATTGACTGCCATGGCAAATGACCACCACGGATCGGCTTGCATGAACCTGTTTGAAACGAAATCAGTTTCTGTTTTACCTCGGGCAAATTTGAGCGACCCTCGATCTCTTACCACTGGAAGATGAAAGCTTGAGCCTGGCACAGAGTCGAATATCTCCCCAAATTAAGACCATCATATCCCATCACAGATGCAACGCTCGCTCCAAGGTTCGCGAGGGCTGCCAAGACGAGGAAGAGATTCGGCGTAGTGCGGAGGCTCTTGAAAAACACATAAGAGGCTACAAGAATAACAATGGCCGCCATGGAAAGGCCGCCTCCAATGCGTTCGGTGGCAACGAGGATCCGGATTTCCCTCGGAGAGAGAGCAGCGCCGCTCATTTTGGCGGGATCGCTGATGCGTCGGGCTGTGGAGGTGAGTTTATGATAACCTATGTTAGAAGAAAGAACGAGCGTATCATGAAACTGGCGATGAAAGAAGGTAGAAGATTTTAGAAATGAGACGTGATGAAAAAAACGCCCAGGAAAAACCCTGAATCACTTTCTCGCAAATGGGATGAGGAAAAAGTGAAGTCAGGGTGAGTTCCTCCACTGGCGGCGAAATAAAGTCCCCGACCCAACCCGACGCACAAGTTGGCAGGAGCAGCTGAGGGCACCTGCGGGCTCTTTCCTTTAGCAGGCAGCAGAAGATTTTCTCAAACACAGGCAGAACAATTGTATTCGGTTCAAGTCCAAGTGCCATGAATCCGATCAACGTGTCACTCTGCTCGTTGATTGTGTCCGCATTGTGGGAACTGCTCACTGCCACCACAATCAATACCTAGCTACTAAGAATAGTGATTAACGCACGCTCCTGGCTTTCTCAGGCCTCGAACAGCATAACTCGGCTCAACTACAGGTCATACATATGTGACTAACCCGAGGACAAACATCAGCAAATTATGCAGTGTAGCCGATGAAAGATTGCAAACCCCCCCGAACACACCCACGCCCAGTAGCTTCAAGACGTTTGCGAACATCGGCATCAACGGTTCATTAAGTGCTAGATAAATTGCTTATAGGATACACTAGATAGACACTCGGACGTATCTGGAAAGGAGAACACTATTGGCGGTCCTGCAGAGACTACCTACTAGTATTCTTTTGATCTTTTAAGTCCGTATCTAGGGATTATTCTATGGAATCACGCTGTATGACCATATATCACGTTGGAGAAATGTCGATAAATCAATTTGGCTTACAGGCAGAAGAGGATGATCCCAATACTGCAACATAGCAATGAGGTAATTGAGAACGATTCCCCCAAGCGCCACCAACGCAAGGCAACAATCATCTGAACATATGATTTTGTCCCTTTTTCATCCTACGCACATCCTGACTCTAGCGCCCAGGAATTCCGCAACATCAAACAAAATCAACAAGCATCGGCACTTGATGACACTATCTGGGGGAATAGGGTCGCTGCGTCCACAGATAGCTAAAAAGCTGAAATAAACGACAGGCCTGTGATGCAGACGGTTGCCGACAGGTATCTCGATATCCATTTAGGCTGACGAAACTGGTAAAAGACACTGGCGGTGGGGGTTGCGATCAACACAAAAAGCACTATGAGAAGTCCCTCGCAGTTATATATTTGTTGAAGATAGAAAGGCAGTTCGATCTGCAATGGTGTCAACGCTATGGGATTGCAAGCCTAGAGCATAACGATGGTCATTGGAAAAATGACTTGTTGCTAATTTGTGAATTATGATCCTGAATCCATATCCCAATTGAGGCCTGCAATGAGCAGGAATGACCAGGCTGACCAGGCTGTATATCAATCGCCTCGCTCGCTCCTCGAAAAGGGCATGTTCTTGAAACCAAGGGAGCTCTTTACGAAGATTCATATCTGCGGCTTCCTTTCCCGGCAACCTTCTTGAAAAGTTGGCCCCTCCCCCTTGTATAAGGAGATACTCCATCGCATGGCTACCTTCCTGGATAGACTTTCAAACGCCTTTGCAGAAAAGGCCAAGTGCCTAGGGATCAATGCCATGATTCAAATATTCGCCTTTCACCTCACTATGTCTAAAAGCACCAGCTCATCAAGCATTTACAAGTTTGCCAGTCATTTTTTCAAACGCTCGAGCACCCCCTTATAAGGATTATAAACGGTTTGGTATTTTTCAGTATTCCAGTATATTTTATCTTGGGAGTGCTTGACAGCTTTTTGACTTCTCTGCGTCGAACAAGCCGATCTCTTTGAACGGAGTAGCTGAACTATGTGGATTTTAATTGGTTGTTATGGGCAGAAGCCCATCATAGAATCATTTTCTAGATGAGACAAATGCTTAAATCTTTGTATCAAAATTTAATAATTAAATATCCTATATTAAAAGAGTCCCAAAGAAATATCTAACAGAAATTTGATGAACTATTATATAGTTGCGTCAACTCTTTAAAACAGCTATTTTAACTCATGCTCTAACCTTAAGCCACCATCGGAGAGCTCTATTAACACCCCCATATAATTTATTCCCCGGTTCGCAGCTTCCGCATTTCTCGAAGATTCTGCCAATAGTATATCCGCTGGGGTTGACGGAGCGGACATTACGCTTAGAAATCAATGGTGGGACAGAATCGCACCTGTCTATATGCTAATTACCCTCTCTCCAGGGAAGGAGGCAATCAGGATGCTGACGGACCCGCCGGATACTTGTATTCTTGTCCTTGCTCATTGTTGATTCTGATCTGCATATTTTTCCCATTGCGTATTGCTAAGACACCAACAGCCGCGGGGTGAATTTGAGGAGAGACGTTCGTTGGATCGCCAGACCTACAGCATCACTCCACAGTGCCCCGCAACCACGCGACCACTAACTGCCACCAGTTCCTCCCGCTTACACCATCCCAGGCCGCCCATCCCGGCGACGTTGGACATCTATCCAGACCACCATCCTTAATTCCTCCAGCACCTAGTTTGCAATCGAGCCCCTCGAGCCATGACCTCTCAGGCGCTCCGCTTAAAAGAAGAGGGCAACGCCCTCTTCGCCAAGCGTAACTACGCTGGCGCAGAGAGCTGCTACTCCCAAGCGTCCGTCCCTCCCCCCTCCCCCTCCTCCCTGACCACCGGGCCGCAGCTACGGGCAGGATAGAGTGAGACATACTGAAACCAGAGCCCACCGCCCGCACAGTCTCGTCGTCTATCCCGCAATGACCTCCCTCTACACCAACCGTGCCATGTGCCGATTTAACATGAAGGACTACAACGGCGTCATCTCAGACTGCGACGTCTGCCTCGGCCTCGACGGCGAGAACATCAAGGCCAACTACTTCAAGTCCAAGGCCCTCGCCGAGCTCGGCGACACCGAGACCGCCACCACCCACGCCCAGCGCGCCTACGACATCTGCCGGAAAACCGACGACCGCAAGAGCCTCGACATGACGCACACCTGGGTCCTCAACTGCAAGAGCGAGTGGTGGCGGGTCCGCGAGAGGCGCCGCCAGCGCGAGGCCCAGGACCTCGAGCGGGAGGTCCTGGAGCTACTAGCCAAGGATCGCGACGAGACACTCGGCGGCGTTCCAGAGGGCGACGAGCTCGAGAGGAAGGCGGTCTGGGAGGAGAGCGAGAAGAAGGCTGAGCAGCTGAAGAGCATCTTCGAGAGGGCGCGGAAAGATGACGACAAGGAGCGCGAGGTCCCGCCGTGGTTGGTCGACGACATATCTTTCAACGTCATGGTCGACCCTGTAATAGTCAGTTTCCACCTCAATTCCCCTTTCTACCCTTCACTGTATACTGTTACTGACTTGCGCTCCTGGTAGACGAGCTCAGGACGCTCATACGATCGGGCGGCCATTCAGGCCGCCATCCTTGCCAATTCTATCGACCCCGTAACCCGCCAGCCACTCACCAAAGAAGAGCTGCGGCCCAATATCGTCCTCAGACAAGCCTGCGATTGGTTCCTCGAGAACAACGGCTGGGCATACGATTGGTGAAAAGAGTGCCTCTCCCTTCAACCCCTCCGTCTGGATACTTGCTGTGCGACCCACGAACTCGAGTAACGACGGCTTTTTCTCTGTATATCTTCTTTTTCGGTATTCCTTGGTTCATCTTTCTAGTGGCCCTTCATCATTTTTTGAAGAGGATTCAGCGACATGCATATTCGGCGTTGGTTGAACGAGCAAGAATTACCCCCCGTCATAGAATTCAACAGGGGCGTCTGGAGTCTAGACGATGACCGATTGCTAGCGAGCATGTTTAGCGTTCAAAGCGGAATTTCTAGAGTATTTGTTTCGTTTCAGAATAAAGAGCGTGGAGGGTATTTCCCATCCAAGCAAAACAGCAACACTTGAACCTGCATGTCTGTTTGTGATGGCGGCGAGATATCAGTGTTGATGAAACTTCCAGGTAAAAGTAGTGGTGAGAATCATGACTTTCGTCTCTTTTGAACAATGATTTGTCGTATACTCAGTTTCTATATACATGACTCTTCCAGCCCCCAACCAACAAATGTCAAAGCACACGCCATACCAAGCTGTTCGTCGTTTCTTCCCGAATGACCCCGAGGTTCAGGTTATCCCCCTCTCTAGATTTTCCTCCCCAAAAGACGATGATACTCCAAAAAGTTCGTTTGCCTCTGAACCCCATAGAAAACCGATCTCTTTCCAAAGAAAACGCCTGCTATGCAAAACAAGAACTAAACAATAGGAGGTAACGCTCTGCATAACCTCCTTCGACACAATGTACGGAACATGAAGGAAATCGATCGTAACGCCATTCTAGAGAAACATCCCTTGGCTGCGCCGCTTGTCGTCGTCGTCGGGAGAGTCATATCCGCGACCATTATTTCGGTCGCGGTCTGAATCGTCATCATTATCATCAGCTTGAGCCCTACTATTTCTATCACCTTTGACTAACCCAAGCCGTTCCTCTTCACTATGGTCAGAACGATGGAAGACTCCCCTAAAAGACAAGGTGCGCTGGCTGGTATGTGGGGGAGGCGAAGGAGGGTGCAGGCTCGGGCCACCTTCGTCTCGATCGTATCCGGGGCCGCCACCACCATAGGACGTTTCCTGGTTGAAGCGGATCTTCCGAGGAGGGGAACGTTGATCATCATCATCATCATCACTATATGAATTTCGTCGTGCAGGGTTTATCTCGGCCAGCGGGACGGGTTTCGTAAGTTGCGGATCCTTGGTGGCTGGAACTTCTTCCTCGTACGTGGGGAGGGTTGAGCGCGTGCGCGCACGGTGGCGGCCCGTGATGGTACCTGCAATTGAGGAGAAAATGCTGCCTCTATCACTGTCGTCGTGGTGATCTGGCTCGTCGTAATGATCTGGAAAACGTGACATACCCAGCGGGGGGTGAGGGCTCGCCGGGAACCCAGCAGATGACGGAGGCGGCGACACAGTGAATGAAGGGGCATTACGAGAGCTGACGGTACCTGTTCTCAAAGTCTTTCTGCGCCTCAAACCATCCCATTCGAATTCTTGCATTGGCTGTCCGTTTTCGTTGATAGGCTGCATCTGGTCCATCATCTTTTCTTCGTGGAGGCGTTTCAGCTCTTGCGATTCCATCTTTAGTCGAGCACTGGAAATGCGTCGGACAATGGCTGCAGCGCCACGGATAGCGTCAGCCTTGGGTTCGGATTCCGGTTGTTCCTGCTCAGCAATCGTCTGGATTTGATCAAGGTCGCCATTGAAAATAGCTGCATCAGGGACATCCTTGGCAGCCTTGGAAAGCTGTAGCAGCACAACTCCAGAACAAATCGTGAGAAAACCAAGGACGAAAGTGACGATCTGGGTCGGTGTGCCCTGGAAACCCCTGAAAAGAATCGCCGAGGTGACAATGGTCGTGGTCGTGAAGTAAACATAGTAGGTTGGTGTAACCATCGCAGCATTGTAGATGTTGAGAGCTTTCTATTTCGAGTAGTCAGTACCAATTTCGGTTCTCGTCCTTCGATTGGCTAATAATGACAGTCTCTCAGGTATGACTTACGTTGAGATAGACAATCTCCACAAGGAGGGTGATGATCACAAAGACAAGCAGAACCCACATAAACCACTCCTTGTATTGAGGTTTGCCTCCAGCCCATGCAACAACAGCAGCTCCCAGGCCCTGAATGGAGACAACACTCAACCCTCCAATCCAACTGCAAACTGAGATGTATACCAACATGTTTTTGTTGCCCCATCTTGGACCGGCCCAGAGAGCAATGATGGTGGAGCCAACGATCACCACGCCTGTGAATGACAGGAACAGAGGATGAATAACGTAGCTCTGCATGGTCTGAATGTCCTTGACAGATCCCGTATGCGGCGCATTCATGACAATGACAATCGATCCAACAATGCACAGGAAACAAGACACCTTTCCAATCAAGCTCAGACGTTCTTTCAGGAACACAGCCGACAAGATGGTAGCAATTACGACTGTCAAAGCTCCAAGCGAAGTGACGATGATGGCATCCGTAAAGGCGTAGGCGACGACGTTGCAGATCTCTCCAACAATCATGAGCGTCATTCCGCCCCACCACCAGGCGTTCTTGAGGTATCCGTATCCCTCTCCAGCAACCTCGTTGTACTTCTCGTTGGCGCGCAAAAGACCGAACTTCTTCATGACGAAAGAGACTCCGATAAAGAACCCGGAACCAATTGCAAGACTAATACCGATAATCCTGTGGGAAGCCGGTCGATCGGCGGTGTCGCCAACCGAAATACCGGCTCGCTCGAACATCATAGGGTCGAAATCCATCGTGACGGTCGTTGAAAGCCTCGCCTTCGTCGCCAGTGACGGCGAGAAGGGTGAAGCGGGAGGAGGAGGAAGAGCGGCGGTCTGTGATCGAAGACTGTGGGGGGGTCGGTTACATGTGGGAGAGGAGCTGTTCGGGCTTGTTAGCAACGGTAGGAAGAGGTCAGAGACATAGGTCGGCGGCGATAAAAGATGAGGAAAAGGAATACAAAACAAAAATAGGGATTTGTCGCAAGAGAAGAAGCAAAACCAGCCAGAAGCGCTAGTGTGGTCTGGGGATGAGACGATATTTCACCTACACACCAGCAACCTGTTGGAGACCAGCCCCATGCTCTAACAGACGAGTTACGAAGCGGCAAAGGAGGCGCAAGGCGCTTGATTTGGCATGCAGGCCCCGACCGAGATCGAAGACAGCTCTTGTGTGGGTGGAAGGTGGAGCGGGGTGGGGAGGTTCCCGCAGAACAGCCGCCGTTAAGGACTCAGGGCGGCCCACCCTCTGTTCCAAGTCCCAAAGTGCTCCATGGGCTAATGCCCTGTTGGCCTGTTGGAAGCTGCCCCTAGGCCCCAGTTACAGCGGCCACAGGCCCAGAGCCCACCATCAGCTGGGAAGTCCAGGCCCAGGACGTGGGCCTGGTGGGCTTTTCAGCTGCTGGTTGCCCAGCTCTCAAACACTCATTGCCACTGAAGGTTTGCGCTTGCAGGCCCCCACTCACAAGGCATTCTCATTCCGAAGGTTTCTGCTCGAGGCATTAAGGTTAATTAGATTCACATATGATCTGTAGATACCCAGACAATACATCCCTATAGTACACATGTTCCCATCCTCTTCATTTCACTGCTCCTTTGGGCTGATTTGATTGATGTCATTTCCCTCGGTGCTGTCTGCTCCGTCCCCGATGCCTGTCGTTGAGCGAAGCTGGGCCGATTGGGGAGGTACGAGCTGATATCAGACTTACCGGTATGAGGCAACTCTTAGCACTGGCCCTAGCACCTATTTAGCTCGGAACAGCGACAAGGAGAAGCAACGGTAGATCCATTTCTGATCGAGCAAGAGGCGCGGCGCTACCCAGCCAGCTACCTACCTACCTACCTTTACTGGCAGAGATATGACCTCAGCGAACAACGACGTCACTCCCCAAGATCCGACCCTGAAGACATCTCGAAACTTGTTTAGCGGGCGCCATGATGGCAAGTGCGCTCTGTGTGATAATTCTCATGACGCCAGTATGCACATCTGATGAGACCCAGTAGGGGTTCTTCATGACTAGGTCGATGATGCGAATACGGCTCCTGGACTTCTTATTCGAGTTCATGGATGATGAATTGGTGGAGGTTGAGCCCCATACAAATCACTTCTCCACGGCAACGGCATCTGTGCACGTTTGGATCTACTGGGCCCTGTTCCCTTTCCCATATCAAATCTTGCCTGTCCCCTGCATGCAGCAGCTTGAGCTCAACAATTCCAACTTTCTCAAAAGCAGCATCCATAAGCTTATAACTAGCTACAACCAGCGGTTATTATCTCATACATTGGCACCTGGTGTCGCAGATTTGTGTCTCTGACATAGTTCGGTACCCACTCCTTCTCTAACCTACCCTACAGATCCACCAACTCTCAAACTTCAGGATCACCAAGTTTAGCCAGTATCACAAAAGTCTACCCCGTGATACGGCTAGGTGCAAAATAACCCTAAACTAATTGCACATCTTGACTATTGTTATGCTAGTCAGTTGTACACATGATCTTGCCATTAGGCTGGAGTACGGTCTTGCACCTTCGCTCAAGGTATGATTGGCGGTCAGCCGCACACTTGAGAGACTGGAATAGCTCAACTATCGATCCTAAACCTAGCATCTCTGCGGAGTTTGGGGCTGTTCATCGACACGTTGCGAGTGTAGTATCGTAAGCCTTTGTAATCGCCATCAACAATAAGCGAGTGCGAGTGTGTGCCTGCTGCCTATGCATGCCATACTGAATGCAGTGTTTTTTCCATTGCAGTGAGATGAGACTCAGCCACCCCCAGCTGCGAACGACATCCCCGCTCACAGAACCATCGCCTTGGGCCTCACAACGGATCCGCCCACGTACGGTTATGGGATACCGTTGCGAGGTGGTATGACATGTTCCATGCACTCAACGTCCCTTGAGACCTTGAACACGATCTCACTTATCAGCAAACAACATTGTCCCTGGATTTCTGTTCAATCCTGCTATAACACGAGAGTCTAATCCGAGTGTTTGTTCCTATCAGCTTACGCCTGCCTGCTTCTAGCTGGTTTTCTTTCTGGATTATTGAATCCTTAACATGTGTGCTCTAGTCTAATGGGATTCGACTCATTCATCATTGGTGAGCGAATGTATCTCTGTTCACAGGCAATATGCGCAATACCCATCACTCCAGTCCCTTGGCCTACCCTAAACCTCGAGTATAATCCACCAGGTTGCGCATCTCCTCTTCCCACGTAGAATCGTGATGTGCATTGAAACTTTGGATCAAAAAATCCATTGGCTCCCAGGAATGGAAAACCTTTCGAAAATTTGAGTGAGTACCTCAGTGATAAACACTTCTTCTACCATTTATGTGAACGGGCGCGGGATTCACCAAAGTTCTGCCGCGGAGTAAGCACCTTGCTTGCCATGAGATTGTGTAACCCTACAAGCATCATGGTATGTGCTCCCAAGGCAATCCAACCCAAATCCTCCCGCAAGAATACCTACTAAGACCAGATTGGTCTGTCGACCCGAGTGCCTCACCTAGGAAGCCAGTATAATATTCGCGCTCCTCCATCTTATCGTCTGGTGACCTAATTGAACTTTTGTGACACACGTAGCAAACATATAGAGCGGTTCGTAGTATTCGACCTGTCTCGTTATGCAGACTGCGCCTCTCGAGCACTACCTCGAGGTGAGGTAATTGAGCATGTGACAACGAGCAATGGAGGGCTCTGGGGGCAGCATATCCCACAATCCGAAATAGAAACGCTCACCTCACGAAGCAGTGGCCATGCCGTTATTCTTAGCTCTTTGGCTCAGCTTCAACCGTCGAGGTTCTGACCTTACGCCGCGCACTGCATTTATCGAATCCCTACAGCTCCCAGCGGCGAAGTGGGATCGGTAACATTGGAGGCTCTGCCATTGAGGGATCCTACGCAGGGAGTCACTTCCAAGTGATTGATTTATGGTCCCAGAGGCACCGTAGTGTCCTTTTAATTCCAAAATGCGCGAATACTCGATCTGGCATTCCCTTTTTGGGACATCGAAATGCATATTATGGGGTCTGGAAAGTCCTGTCGCGATCCTACAATTCGCTTCGTTTCAGAGTTTTTAGCCTGGGGATTCTGTTTAATTAGATTAGAGATTTCAAAGGGTTCGGTGAAACCACTCGAGGTAGGCACCTTGAAGGCACGACGTTCCAGATAGAAAAAAGAAGACCCAGGTGAATGGTGATCTAGCAGGTAGACAGGGATCGTTGATGGACCGAGACACAGCTGATCAGTGTGAAGGCTCTGGCGATGAATTAGCGCATGAAGCTGAACCCCGCCTTTGCCAAGCTCCTGCATGTTGGGAGATCTCAAAAGTTCAAAGAGCGCTCGAGAACATGCGGCTGGGACGACTTGGCCGCGAACTAGTATGCCCATGATGCACGAGGTTGGATACTTGCATCGGTAGCGTTGACAGGGAATGGCTTGTCCGCGAGTTCAAGAGCTGTAAAGAATTGGCTCAATTGCCTAGCTGCCGCCAAAAAGCTTGATCCTCTATTATTAGCATTCGTAGTGAGGGAGAGCCAGTTTTCGACGTCGGCGATCGATTCGCCCTCATGGATCTCTGCTGTGGAAGGCGTACATAGCGCACTTGCGCCGCATAGCCCCGCTGCTGGGATTTGGGGGCCCTAAAATGCTTAAGGCAAGCCTGTGCTATTTTTGCCGGAGGCCTGCATGAAGGTCCATCAGCCCGTAATAGTAATACTTCTGGGTCCCAATCAGAGCCCGATTACGTGGTAGAACTCTTTTTCCTCTCTCAGCACCACCCGCGGCAAGTTCAGCGAGCCGAGTAAGCTGACGTTGAGGCATACCGTCGCTTCCACGTGCTGGCGGGGATCATTCCAGAGGGAGAATTCCGGTTGCTATCCTGGATTTGTCCCTAAAATTCGCAATACGATGCGCATAGGTCAGGGTGACGGTATATATTTCGGCCCCCTTCATATCCGTCGTACTATGGAGAGTGGTATGCCAGAGCCATGCCTTTACTCATCTACTGATCAGCATCATCTGTGTTCAACTCTGTAACAACGGCGTAGCTAGACTGCCCCAGCCTGATTAACCTATTATTAATAAATCCCATGTTTTCTCCGGTCGCATGACTGATGCCGGGCAAGGCTTTGGGTGACCGCCAGTACCTGAAGTATGGCCAATATTAACGCTATTGAATGCAACCTTTGCCTAGCTCCCTGCAGTGATAGCGAACCTCGCCAAGCTTGAGTAATCGCTAGCACACATACAGGTGAATAGAGCCAGATGCGTGCTGCATCAACCTTCGCTTGGTGGGCAGGGCAGGGGTTCCGGAAGGTGGAGGGTATGTTGCCTGGCTGCACTGGATGAGGGCCGTTGAATACCCACTGAAGAGTCTGTAGCTCCAGGTGGGAGGGCAGTCGCAGCGACGCCTGAAGCGTCCAGAGCCCGCTAAACTGGCCTACCGGATCGGCTTCGTCAGGGACTTGCGAAGACGGTTCTTCCCCGCTGAAAGTGCAACGTTCCTGGCACAATCCATCTAATGTTGAAAGCCTCAATACAGCAGCCTTGGACAGGGGACTGATCCTTCTCGCGTCCAAGACCCTGCTCTCTTCATTTCGGTCTAACTCCATCAGGTTCACATTCGGCCGCTTCCGTGCTGCCATCTCACCATTCTTGCTCTCTGGCCTACCTTACCCGCACATGGATGGTGCTGGTTCCATTTCTCTCTCTCTATCCATGTCCAAGGATGCCACACTCTGCAGGTGAGGTGG